AGGGGTTAGCCAAGGGTCCTAAAGGGGACAGGCTGGCAGAATGGATTACTTAAGCAGGAATACTCACAGAGACATAAACTAGGTCACAGGGTTGGTGGTCTACGTCAGAAAGGGGTCATGTAGTCCCACTATACTAGAGACTGAAGAAGGCACATTACCCGGGGAGCTAAACCCAGAAGTTGGAAATCAACCCAGACAAAGCATCTAAGGAGTGTGGACATCAGTCCCTGGAGATGCAGAAGCAGAAGGCGGGTCCTTAGTAAGCAGCTTCCGGTCCTGTGCAATTGTTTGTGCAGGAAGACGAAGATCCATGCACGTCATAACGAATTACAACGGGTGCATCAGCCATGCAGTTACAAATTATTGCAGGTTCGGCACACTATCGTCTGCTTGCACATGAATGGAGGTCCCTTCATTCAAAATCACTTCCGTGGTAGCAGAATTCAGCTGGCCCTGGGACTCCTCCTGTTGTTCAGGGGCCGGCACAGGGGGCGGCGTAGGCTGAGTAAGCTTGTCCACAGAGTGCATGTGTAGGGCAAGGGTATTATTCAACAGAGCAATAGCAGAATCACGCGACTGTTCACTCTGGGACAGAGCTTGTAAAGTGTCTGCGATAAAACGAAGTGCGGGCAAGATGTGCTCATGCAAATTAGAGTGCAGGTCATTATCAAGCCTCAGAATGTCGTTAAAATACGTGACATGCGAGAAACCAGAGCTCTCAAACATTTGTTTGTGCGATGCCAGAGTATTTCGAAAGGTCACTTCCAGGTCTTTAACAGCTCGGGCCACCACTGCTGTGTGTTCCTGGAAGAGGGAGTTTTCTTTGCGCATCACATCGTCCATGGCCTGGAAGACGTCATTGATGCATCCGGCAGTCGCCTCATACATCTGTTCGATGGTGGTCACTGCTCCAGTCAGGGCTGTCACTCTCGCACCCAGACCACGAATTCTTTTCTCAATCTGATCCTGGGTCCTTAGGACCAGGGACTGCAGCATGACGTTCTGGTTGCGCAAGTGTTGAGTGGCAAGATGTACCTGCCTTTGCACGCTCTCAGAAAAAACTGCTGGTTCAGATATGATCACGGGGGTGTTGGATACTCGGTGGTTTTCCAACAGCAGACTCAGCTGGTCGCGTAGTATCCGCAGGTCTCGGCTGTTCTTCCATGTGATGACAAGCAGGCATAAAGCAAGAAGTGCACCAAGGAGACAAGCTGTCACCTGCAGGATAGTCAAGCTTTCCCACTGCTGGGTCAGGCCATGGGGGCTCGCTGCACACGAAGACATTTATCACACGTCCTGCCCCCCCCCCCCCTGGGTTCGCGAGGAAAGGCTGCGGCTGTACGTGTCATGCTGAATTAGTCACTCCGGGCGAGGCACTTCAAATTCCAGGACAGACATGCACAAGCTGGGGAACTAATTACCGACAATGAGGAGAGGGGAGTGCGTGCAAGCAACAGGGGCGGGGGGGTTGTTTGGAGTAAACAAAGCCAAGGGGGATTTACCACCATGGTTTTGGAGACGGGCAGGCTGCATGCACACCGACAAATCTGCTCAAAGTATAATCCCATCCTCTCAGAAGGACTCGGCCAGCAGGCATGGTTGTTGCACGCTTGGCTGAGGCGTCTGCAAGTTCATTAAGGGGGTCTCCTTTGTGTGCTCTAACATGAACAGGCGTGACAAATTCCCTGACTCGAGACCACATTTGCCTGAGCTGGCACACCTCAGCAAGGTTAGCCGTGGTGATGATGGAGTCTGAGAGGACATGCAGCACATGGAGTGAGTCACAGTGCAGCTCAAGCGAGTGGCCAGGGAAGTCTTGTCTGGTCCATACGGAGGCAGGATCACAACTCCTGCTCCCCCGACGTAGTCAGAGGAACTCCCGTCGGACGATACTCTAAAAATCGCCTGGTTGGACTCTGATTCAGGTCCCGGAACATATTTATATGCCAGGTCGTAGGGCTCCTCTACAGGGGGGTGTCTCATGGGAAGGAGCCAAAAGCAGTCACCCACATGCAACAAAGATCTGCCGAGGAGCTCAACAAACTCCAAACGAGGATACCAACCAGTGCTGTGGGCATAGTTCGCTGAAATCCAATCCCGTATGAAGGCCTTCCATTGTTCCCTATCCTGCGCCTGGGGTACCCAATTGCCCAATCGATCAACACTCTCCCACTGTAGTTGGATCCATCGGACAGCATCAGGCCAAAAGCCCCTAGCGCGTCGGGTCGAGGGGTTTGCAGCAAGCCAATCGTGGTCCCGGAAACGGATGACCTTGGAGATGGGGCGCCAATCAAAGGCAGTGTAACGTGCTGCGTGTCCCCAGTACCTGAAGAAGCATTCAGCCTGGCTGATCGCCCAGCGAACGTGAGAGCATGCCTGTGCCGACATCCTTGCAGCACGACGCCTACAGACCCAGTTATGTACGGGGTCCTGTAGTCCGTCGTAGGCAGGGCGCAGCATAGAAGCTAGGAGCGATGTTTGTAGGATATCCAAGAGTCTTTTGACTTCCCCCACTGGACGGAAGGCTGCGCTTGCCCATTTCCACTTATTCGTTACATACGAGTCAAAGAGTTGGAGGCGCTTTTTTAGGGGGGCTGTTCCCCTGCACAGGAAGCCACTATGTCCCCAAAATGCCCCGGTAGCAGCTGCCAGCCTTCTCGATAGCGCCGTTCCACAGCTGAGCCCGAAGCCAATCAGGATGCCTAAGTATACAAAGGCCTCAGTGTGTTTAATGGCCAACCTCAGGCAAGAGCAAGGGAGTTGTGTCGAGGCCTGGGCTACAGATGAATTGGCATTTTTCAAGGGCGAGATGCAATCCTATTGTAGCCAAAGTCTGCCTGAGCTCCATCAACATGTTAAGCATGTCGGCTCTACTCGACGAAAGGAGCACTACATCGTCCGCATACAGGATGGCATGGAGGCCAACATTGTTTTCATCCCGCACCCACGTAGGGTATTTTTCCCTCCATTTGTGGAAAAGGGGACTCACAAAGTGGTCCAAGACGCGGGCGAAGAGCTCCGCTGAATACGAAGAGCCCTGTTTCAGTCCCCGCCAAAGGGGTTGTTCCCACGATTCACTGCCAAGAGACATGCATGCAATTGAATTACAAATTATGAGGAGCAAGATATAGGCTTCACGCGAAGGCCCTAAACAGCCCAAGAATCGTGCAACAGCGGCATGAGACAAAGTGTCGAATGCTTGGGAAATATCTAATTTCGTGGCATACAACGGAAGCTTCCACTGCTGTGACTGCCGAACAACATGCTGGAGTGTGAGCGATCCATCCAGGCTCTGAGCTCCAGGCAAGCCTGAGAGTTGGTGGGAATGCATGGGGGGGAAGACGTGTCTCAAACGCAACAAAAGTACCTTGGTAAACAGTTTTCCTGGCGTAGAGGAGAGAACAATTGGTCGCAAATCCTTGGGTTTAGAGGGACGCTTGGTTTTCGGGATCAGAGCCACCTGGGATTTGAGCCATCGCTCAGGGACGGATGTGGTTTGGTTCAAGACTGAATTAAAGAAGGAAACGAATTCATCTTGCAAACCGGACTGCATTATCGAGAACATTAATTCATAGGGGACACCGTCCTGTCCGGTGCCTTCGTGGTGTCCAGGACTGTCTGGATTTCTTGGGGGGTGATGGGACAGGCGTTGGGGACCTGCAGCACCATAGACAAATAGGTGTCCATAGTCTCGCCAGGAGACGTGGGTTTTTTCCCTCCCACTTAGCAAGGACGAGCCCGCATTGCAGGGTTAGGTGCAGAACAGAGGCACTATAAAAGCAGTCAAGGAAGAAGGCACACCATCTTAGCAGCCAAACTCTCGACTAATTGAAGCAGACCGCAAGGAGACGTGGGTTAGGGTTTGGGGTTTGCTACCCATGATCTCCTGTTGAAGTTTTAGGTTTGGACTCTCGCACCATCCAACACCTAACAAATCATGATCACGAGGCTCTAAACCAACACATGCTAAATGGTGTCCCAAAGCGGGGATTTCGGGTAATTGGATGGCACTGGACTCTCAACAACCCCAAAAAGATGATAGTTGGCAAACCCTCACGCTGTTCACCCTGTTTACTGCACCTGCTGGGTCATGTGAGGCTGCTGCACAATGCCTGCATGTGCAACTCAAGCTGCGGCCTCCTGGGCAAGCGCAAGGGCAGCCGCAGCCGCAACAACCGAAGCCGCAACCGTTGCATCCACTGCATCCTTGCGGCCAGCTACATTGCTGTTGGCATTGGTTCGGCCATCCAGGGCATTGATTTGGCTGCACACCTTGAAGGGGGTCCATGGAAGAAGCCGAAATCCCTAAAACCCGCAGGTGGAGGATAGAGGAGAGTGTCCGTTCACCGTGCCTGCTGTAAAGTTGCCCCAGCCAGAATTTGCACAGCCAGCAGGCCAATTGCCGCCTCCGCTTTGTGCAGGGTTCTGAAGCTGCGGCTCGCTTGAGCTGCATGCAGAAGTGGAGGATTCACACCTGCAAGCTTTGCAACCTCCTGAATAGCCACCTCCTGTTTCTGTGGTGCCCGGCTGCCACCCGCCGTTGCTAGCAGTCCCCAGGCATGTCGAACCATTGTTCACAAAACTTGCGCTGGCATTGCTACCATCGAAGAATCCACAACTGCCGGGCATGCAGTTCTGCCCGCTGCACCTGTCAAGCGGCGCTTGAAAGTCCATGCATTCTCTCGGAGGAGCACTCATAGCTGTACGGGTAGCTTGGGCCGATTCCAGTGCAGGAATGTACAGACCGTCAAACATGCCCACTGCTCCCTTCACCATGGAGTTGCAGCCAAGTAATTAATGTACTATGTGATAGTGATTTTGCCCTCCCACTCAGCAAGGACGAGCCTGCATTGCAGGATCATGTGATGGTGATGAGAACCCGACATGCCAAGCCATGTCTTATAAGGCACAAACAAGGAATCGTGACCTGAGTCACCAGAAATGGGCTTACAAAAGAAGCGATCTAGTCTACCACAGGCCAACGCTCATGCCAGCTTGGCGAGAAGTCTTTGCCGGCAAACATGGCTGTCCGGGTGGGCACGTTGCCAACCTCGCGCACGCGCATTCGGCAGGAATGCATTCGGCAGGAATGAGAAAAGCTGGCATGAACTTCGGTGTCTGTTCGTACAGAGGCCATGCTATCAATCCACAGATTTCGGCCCAGGTGCAAGATTCGAAAGCCCGGTCTTCGACGCTTGTCCCAACGCGAGCATATGCTAGCATGCATCTCAATGAAGCACCACACATAGCAGTTCATGCACATACGCTGAGGAGCCGATTGCATTTTCGAGGATTCGAAGATAGGCGCATCCATCCAGCTCTCACAGCAAGGGGCCTCCTGGAACGCCAGCCTTTTCAATAAGCCTTTACCAATTTTATCCTGTGGCGGTGTGTCTGTGCTTGCTGGAAAATCAGCAACACCTGATGCAAGGCGCGATCCCGGGTCAGTTCGACGGACACACTCCTAAACCCTGCGACGGACTGCACCGAGGCAGGAACCATTTCTGGCAGTAGCCCTCGATAAAAGCGCGGCCTGATGCTCGCCAACATCGGAAAAAGTGTCTTACTCGATGGCAGACGACGCTCACCACACTCGCTCTGCAACATCGTGCTTCCTTCTTTGACTAGCTATTTTGGCGCTTGTCGCCGCCTGCGCATTGTGTAAGGCTGCTGCCAGCCTCCCTCCGCATAGCACTGTCGGAAGGCTTGCGACCTCGAGCTGAGATTTACATCTCAGCATTTGTGCTGAAAACATGATGGTTCGCCTCACACTGACTAACCGGGTTAGCGTTACATATCTGAGCAGCATTTACACATATTTGATGCGTACGATATGAGCGGCAACTTCCGCACATTCACCATTCAAAGGGCAAGCAATACATCATTCGACGTTTTCAGTGATGCAAGCTTCAGGATCCTCAGGCCATTCTCCAGCCAGCGAGTTGTTGACCTGGGCAATTCGAGGCACAGCAGGCCCCGTACCGTCGTGTTTCTGGGACACATTCTTGTCTCGGTGCAGGTTGTTTTCGATTCGGGTCATTTTACACTGATCAAGTGCAAGAGCTCGGTGCACTGTCGTCAAGACGGTTCTGCATGTGCACAAGTTCCCAGTCTAGGTGCTGCCAGCTTGTACACCTGAGCCAGCAACAGCTGACTGCAACCGGCTTGCCGCATGCCTGTCAGCACAGAAGCAATAGTTGGCTGTGCAGCCAAGTGTAACTAGCTTACAACAGTGGCCCGTGCTGACCATCCTCGAGAAAGGTTGGCTTCTTGACGTGAAGTTTCCGGCAGAAATGCTCGTTCCCGAAGAGGCGCTCAAATCACCCCAGTTTATCGATAAGACCCAAAGCAAGGCTCCACAGAGCTCCGTCGCGCCAGAGCAGATTCCAAAACAATACTCGTACCACCAGTACCATCTAAATCCTGAAGCCACCCAACGGCGACATTGCTTCCCCTACACCAAGCATGACAAGGTCGCACGCTCAGTCTCCACAACATAGTACCCACCCACTTAGCCCACGCACAACAAATGAAAGAGCGAACAAGAAAACCTACATAGTCAGAAACGGACATGGGGGCCAGGTAAGCAAACAGTGTCAAGTTAAATTAGGCCATGTTCACCTAAAACTGTCGCTGACATGGCGCAGGTGTATAAAGAGCAACCAACACTGGACCACAGCAAGATGCAATTCCACCAGAATTATGCAGGATTAAGCACAACCCGCAGCCACGTACCTGTTTCAAAAGAGTCCTCACATGGTTAAGCGAACACACTAATGACTAATAGTTCACCCAGCTGACATCACATCGTGGTGCGTCGTCGAAGGGCTGAACAAACAGCATGCAGGCTTTCTTCATACTTCCTGACTCGAATTCTGAATGCAGATGCCCCAGTCAAGCAGCCGGGGATTTGTTTAACCGGCGTGTCTTGATTGTAGTCTCCATGGATGCACTTGCGTCGGCTCTCACACTCGGACAATGTAGGAGAAACTTGTGGTCTAAAGTCGGCTTTGGTGAAACTAGCTGAAAGAGAAAGCTTGGACGGAACATTGATCCCAATAATACAAACCTGCCAAGAAGAAGTGTCCTTTGCTGTTCATGCCCTATGTCCTGCATATACGAGAATGCCTAGTTCAGGACCTCGAGCCTACTCGTATACATAGGATCGCATAAAAGAGGCAAAGACAGGACCATCTACTGTCGTATGAGTTAAATAAATTAACAGCACTACGATGCAGGACGCACCAAGTACTTGGATGCGTTCCTCTTCGTGCGCTTATGCTCATCAGTTATGTACATGTCAGGACTTCAATCTACTCCTAACTCAAGATGCAACAATTGCAAATTCTAATCACAAATTTCACGAGCAGTTCACTTGCACCTGCCTCGAATTCTTCAGTTCAGCTTCGAGACATCAACCCAACACTTCCGTTGTTTGCGCTGCTCTCCATTGCAGCACTCCACCACACGATGTTTACAGGAAGGACCACATCCATTGTCCCTCCATGTTCTTGTGACCTCTCAACCGCCCAAGATGACTGTCATGAACCAGCCCACTTGCAGACGTATTCTCATGAATTCCCAAGTTCATCTGTGTCTTGAGGCTTGCGTTGCACAAATTCTTGTATTGGTATCATGCTGCAAACTTGCCTTACGCCAACTCAGGGCCAGATTCAAGCAGACCTACTTGTCATGCGCAGTCAGCGTCATGTCAACTTGACAAGCAGCTGTATGAGTCACCAGCCCAATGCAGAGGGCTATATTCGTCATCTACACTCCTCACAGCATCGAGGGATGTGTTTCTGCAAAAGGTCCGTTCCAGTCGGGCTCTGGTGCTGTCACCCGCTTAAATCATCCAGACTGCACCTCTTGCTTTACGCAGGCCCCCGCATCAAGGGGAGACGGATTTGTCCCAGATACGCTGGTGCGCACAGCCAGGTCATGACTTTGCAGGGCCATGGATGAGGGGTTCATGGTTTTACAAGCTACCTCAGGATTGAAACATGATAAAGCAGCATAAGTTTTTCTTAAAAGGAGCCCGTCAGCTAGGATTACCCAAATTTAGAACCATGGATCAGCCAATTAATAACCTGCAGCTAGGCCACACACATGTGCTTGCATGTGCATCGTGCATTACACGCGGTCTTGCACATACCATTTATGCACGAACTAAGGCAGGCTTAGGGCAAGACCGCATTCGCCGTTCTCCCTGGTAAACCAAACAGCCAACACCGGTAGAAAACAAACTACCAAGAGACATGCCCCAGCAGGACATGAGTTTCTTGTGAGTCCATTGACTCGTGCTGTGTGTCCAGACCTGTAGGGGAAGGCTCCAATTTTCCAGGTTCCTCATCACTCACCACGCTATCAGATAGAATGATAGCTACGGAACCATGCCGGAGCTTCCCCGCTTGCCAGATGTGGTGCACCATCCTCTTGTACCCTGAAGTAGAGTCTTCCCACTAAACGTGCAAGGTCTATCTGTGAGCTCCGCTATCTCCCCTTGTACTTGCTTGCCGATGTGCAGCTTTGAGCTAGTGCCGCGGGGGGTTTGGATCCATAGGCCTCCTCCCGCAAAGCAACTGAGTGCAATGCTGGTTTGGGGATAGTGAGAGTTTCGCAGATCACAGTGCGGGGACAATCCCGCACAGCCCCATAGAGTATTCGTATTGAATTTAAGACCGGGACGTTTGGGGTGTCTTTGAGGGCGTGTGAAAGAACGATGGCGTCGGTCCCCCTTCCTAGGTTGACAAAGTAATAACTGCAGTAAGAGCCCGCATCTTTGTTAATAACCTGCTGGGAGACTTCACACATCGTTTGAAGAAAACATGCAACAGTACGGCCACCATTATGTACTACGTGTCCCCCTGTGCACGGTAGAAAAAACAGCATGATGAACACTTGGGTGCTCTCCCTCTCCCTCTCCCTCTCCC